TCTTCTTCTTCTTCTTCTTCTTCTTCTTCTTCTTCTTCTTCTTCTTCCTCCTCCTCCTCCTCCTCCTCCTCCTCCCCTCCTCCTCCTCCTCCTCCTCCTCCTCCTCCAGGAACCAGGACTGTTTGAGGCTGATACAGTCAGCAACCAGCTACGATCCTCAGGAATCCTGGAGACCATCCGAATCCGCAAGGAGGGCTTTCCTGTCCGGATCCCCTTCCAAATCTTCATTGACAGGTACAGATGAATCTGCCGAGATCCTTAGTCCAAAGCTGTTCCAGCCTAAGATCAGAACTCCGGGAGCCCCAGACCCAACGGCCAGAGCTGAGAAATCTGCCTGTCAGGCCACCACTGCAGCATGGAAAAACACGCTGTCCACCATATGATGGCTTAGCCCTACATCCCAGTCTAATTTGTGTCTCCTCAGGTACCGCTGTCTTGTGGATATCCGTAGTGATATCATCCCGGACGGGTGGAATTCTGTGGGGGTTCTGAAGAAGCTGTGCCCGGTCACCCCAGAGATGTACCGCATTGGCACAACCAAGGTAAAGCCATCAGTGTCAATGATAGTTTATTACAAGAAGTTATAGAACAGATAGTAGATGGACATTGCAAAGGAGGGGGGGGTCCCTGGTCTTTAAAGAAGGGCTTGGTGGTTTCTTCTCAACTGATTCTACTCAGGGTATCTAGGTGGACTTGGACATCAGGAGATGCCCTTTAGGTTCTCTTATGTCGGGTCTTCTCCATCACCAGCTACTCCATCTGGTTATGTACCCATAGGAACAACCCAACGTTACCCGAATCCTCTTATTTTGCTTGTCCTTCACCTTCCTACCTTTTCCTCCTTGTACCTCCCGTCCCTTAGCTCCCGTTGCCCAATGCCAGCCATTCCAAGGGCCTAGGCAAAAATAAGTCATAACATCAGCTCCATTGACCAATGAAGATGATGGATCAGTGACCTCTTGGGCTTCTGCTTCTCCTGAGCCGTCTTCCTCTTCCTCTTCTAGCTCTTCATGAAGGAAAGCATCTACCAGCAATTGGAGGCCAAGCGGGAACAGATTGTCCACATGGCGGTGGTGACCCTCCAACGTTACGTCCGTGGCTTCTTGATCAAGAAACGCTTTTATGCCCTACGCTGCAAGATCATCCTCTTTCAAGCCCGGGCCCGGGGTTACCTTGTCAGGTGCTGAGTTGGACTGTCCTTGAGAGCCTTGGGGGGATGCTTGTGGAGGGGCTTGAACAGAGCCTCTGTCATGTGTGGACCAGCCTCTCATTGCTCATCACTTTTCAGACTTAACATTCTAATCCGGTATAAAGTCTAATTCTCTGCCCTGTCGACCAAATAGACTCTGAAAAACGATTATAAGATCTAAGTCCCACCCGTCTTTCCACTCAGCCCCCACCCCCAGATAATAGCTTAGGGATCTCAGGAAACTCAAAGAACATGTCCAAATGCATTTTCAACTGGATTCTGAAAAGATTCAACCCCTCCCACGGATCACCTAAACGAGAATGCCCTTTCTATTCCCTCATTTTAACATCTTAACAACCTTGTGAGGTGGGTGAGGGACAGGTTTAAGGGCCACTCAGGCGGACTTTCTTAACTTAATAAGAATTTTGAGGACTTCCCCAACTTGGTGTTCTCCAGACATGCTGGAGAGCCTCTTCCACAATTGTCAACCAAGATCCCAACAGCTTTGCTGGATGGGTTGAGATGATGAATCTCCAACATCTCTGCAAGAGGTCATGTTGGCGAATATCCCTCCAAGTGGTCCGCCTGTAGATGTCTTTGCCATCCTTGGTCTGGTCCGTCTGTCCATTATTGTGTTTTGATTTGATTTTTTACCCTGGGTAGGAGAAAATGTTGTTGAGACTTGGGGTGATCTTTCCCACCTCCACCCGGGGGGTTTCCCGTCCTGCAGGCAGAAATATGGGAGGCTGCGTCAGACGCTCATCAAATTCAGATGCCTGGTACGCATCTATATGAACCGCAGGAAGTACCTCAAGGTGAGTCTCCAGGGTGGGGGGTGCTGAGTGCAAAGGGGGGGTACAGGAAGAGGATTGGGCAGAGAGGGACCTTATCATAAATTGCCTAGGTCTCTTGGTGTCTACTCTGCATGGTGGGTGACAATTCCCACATTCTGTGATCCAGGAGACGATCTCTCTGCTTGGAGAAAAGGGCCCAAGAATTCCCACATTCCCGGGTCCCTTTCCTTTCCAAGGAAAGTGCTCGTTCTCTCTCCCCACTTAGGTGCTCTGGAGTAATTGGATTGCTTTCTAATAGAGCTCTATTAATGGGGTGCAATGCTTGTGTGACCTTGGAAATCTCACTCTGATTTCAGAGGAAGGATGAGGAGCGCCGAATTGCAGAACAGGAGAAAAGAAAAGCTGAGCAGGTAATTCTCTGGTGTTTGGGGGTTTACTGGGGTCATGGGGGTCAGTCCGAAAACGTTGCTGAGCAGTGCACTCACTCCCAAGGCGAGTACACAGGATCTTAACCCTTTTGAGGAGAACTTGGGCTGCAAAAACTTCCTTTGATAACCTGCATATACAACTGAAGCAATTTTGTCGCTTGGATAACTAGAGGTGACCCAATTTTCTGGGTTCCACTAGGAACTGAGCCAGCGAGAAGTGATGAAAGTCGCAGATCTGGAAATCCCTGCGGATCTGGTTGGACTCTTAAACTCTGTGGCTGGTAGGTCATGATCCACTACGAACTAAGGGAAGGCTAGATGAACCTCTGCAAGGATTTTAGATGGCGGATCTTTGAGGTTTCCAGGAAGGAGGTTAATTCCTTCTCTGTACCACCAGTGGCAAGCTGAGTAGACCACAACATTTTGGCTGTCAGAAGGCACCAGACACCGAATTGTTTGCCTACAGCTGCCATCCTTTAGCCTTGTTGGTCTATCCTTGCCAGTGGAGCTCCGGACAGGTACATTATAAGCACTGTTTCAACGACAAAAAAAAAATAAAGTGCTTGGATGGACCTACCGCTTGCTTTCTGGGACCCAGAAAAGGGGGCTACAACTGGCATTAGAGAGAACCTATTGCCCAGTTGACATGGTCCAGCCAATGTTTTCTGGCATTCTCGTGAGTGAACTCAAGGGGTTAGGATGGGAGGACCCCTCCTTTGCACTGGCTGCTACTTCCTGTTCCTTGTAGTTGACAAGCAAGTGAGTGAGGAATGTATCACGCCTGTCCCTCCGCCCAAGATGCAGGACAACTTCCAGCTCGCCCTGCCTCTTGACATCAACAATTATCCCATGCCCAAGTACGTGCAGCTCCACTTCAAGGTAAGGCTGACAACGCTGGGCTTAATGGTATAAGGGGTGCTTCACCCACACCACTATTGGGAGGTAGACCAAGAGCTAGTATTTGTGGCTGAGTTTACATCCTGCATTTAGCCATGGATTGGGTTTAAAAGATGGTTTGTTCAGGGAGCCACTATGGCTGGCTTTGCATGTATCCCTTAGGAAACCAAGAGTTGATTTTACTCACACAATATGTTACACAACCTGCATTGGATTACAAACTAGCATGCGTAGATTCGTACTTCCTTACATAACTCACTTTATTTAACAATTGGGATGATGCCTCACTCTCTAGAAGAACTCTTGATTGATCGATCAATTGTTTATGCACCCTAAGTCGGTGGCAATTCTTACTGACCACATACCAGCCTTCTCCAAGGTAATCTGCCCCAACCTAGTCTTCAGGTCTTCCAACAATGGCCCCATCACCACTGTAACTGACCCCATCTGGCACCGGGTTGTTTTCTTCTCTTTCCTTCCACCTTTCCCAGAATTAGGTCCTCTAGAGAGAACTGGGTGTGACATAATACATCCAAAATATTATAATTTCAGCTTGGTTGTTTATGCCTCAAGAGAAACCACTGGACTGATTTGTTGGATGATTCATAAAGAAACTCTAAGCTCAACCGAAGCTAAACCCCACTTGTGGGATTGTGTTGACTTTGGAAACCTTTGTCTTACTTGTTCTGGGTAGGACCTCCAGCACCGTCTCTGTCCAGAAGGCTGTGCAAATGAGTCTTTCGGTCACTTCTCTGTCATTCCACAGGAGCCACTTTTGGGGATGCTCACAAGAACCCTATCATCCCCCCTGACCCACTTAGATGAGAGTTTGGCCCCTGAAGCTCTTAACCTCTTCAAGCTGGTAGGTGAAGGTGAACTGCATCCCTCCTGCCTGGTCAAACAATGGCCATCAACAGAGTGTTAGTGGTAGGGTGAGGTTTTGGGGATCACTCCCTGGATTTTCTCTGTGGCAGATCCTCCGCTTTATGGGTGATGCCCAACTCAACGGCCTCCAGGAGAACCTGTTTGGGAACTACATTGTACAGAAGGGGCTCTCTACGCCGAGCCTGCAAGATGAGATCCTGGCCCAGATTGCCAACCAAGTGTGGCGGAACACCAATGTCCACAATGAAGAGCGGGGGTGGCTGCTGTTGGCCTCCTGTGTCAGTGCTTTCATGCCTTCCCACCAGCTGGACAAGTACCTGCTGAAGTGAGTGGGGACAGGTCTCCCTCCTAAGGAGATCCAAAGAGGGTGGCCGCCTTATTTGGTGATGATGGTGACCACAGAAGATGTCATTGGGGGATGATGGCCTTCCTCTTCACCTCCTTCCCAAGGCCACAAGAGGAATTTTAAAAGAGGCTCCGTTGACTGACCTGAAGCTCACGGCCAAGACAGATAGGAACAGAGCTCAGTTGACCCCTCGCTCACCATTTCTGAGCATGAGGGCCACGTGTGTGCCATGACTCGCATCTTCTTTTGCTCACTGACTCCCTCTGCACTTCTCCCCACCTACCCAGGTTTGTTTCAGACTATGCCTTCGACGGCTATAAGCCTGTGTGCCAACACAAGCTCCTGCAAGCAATGGCAATAAGGGGCCAGGATGGTGGGGACGCCGCCCGAGCGTATCCACCCACCCTGCTGGAGTGGGCAGCCAGCCGGGACCGAGCGAACATGGCCCTTGATGTGTACTGCTTCAACGGTGAGTTAAGGGAAACAGCGGGACGGGTTGGGAATCGAAGGGCAGATGAGAAGCCGCCTTCTCGAGAACCTGGGAGAAACACCCACTGCAGGGAAGGCCCCCCAAAAACTGAATACGGAACTAGGTGTCTACTTGCATGAAGCTGCATTCAGATCTGTCAGTGTGCGTGGAAGGGATCTTGGGGGAAAGATATCCCTTCTCAGACTATAAAAGAGACGGGGGGAGATTTGTACTTTCGGACGTGCAAGATTCTGTTAATGAAGCCTTCCAAGGAAGTAGGATTAGCTTGTCCGGGTTTCCTGTTTGTTCTGCGTGGAAAGGCTGACAAAATGAAGTAGCAGGACGGACACCCACCAGAGTGAAGGACTTGGGGTTTTGTTTCAACAGGAGATCATTATTCTTGCCCGGTCCATTCCTGGATCACAGGGGAAGGCCTTGCTGAAAGTGTGTTGAAATACAGGTAGCAGCGATGGGGTCGGGGGGATATATGGGTGGTGGGACGGAGGAAGAGGGAGTGGGATCCATTGCCGTGGCCCTTTTCAGCTCTCCAAGGACTGGAAGTCAGAGGCAAGAAGCTGTTGAGAAGCTCCTGGGAGGCTCTTGTCCCATCTACCTCCAGCCCCAAACAGAGAGTCCAGCTGCCCAATGCGGGTCTCCCCTCCTCAGAGGAGAACCTAGAGTGGCTAAGCCCTGATGTTCCTTCACAGGGGTCTTACTGATGGATGGCAAGGCTGGTCTGTCACCATGAAGGATGGCACCCAGTGGGCCGAGCTGGCTGGCCATGACTATGTCTTGGATCTGATTTCGGATCTGGAGCTGATCCGTGGTTTCCCCAAGCAGAAGTCCTATTTCATCCTGGCCTCTGAAGACCCAGAGAAATGCACTGGTGGCAAACTGTAGGTGGCTTCATGGCTCTTCCTTAGAGAGTACTTTTCTGTTTGGAAAGGGTGTTGTTCATTGGTTCAGGGGGCTTACCAAGGAAGAAGAAAGCAACCAATATGGGGTGGTGTTATCCCAACAATGGGAGGCCCAAATTTTGGAATTGAGATGGTTGTGGAACCTTCTATGGTTTTGACCGAGGATGGGACAGAATTTTTTTCCTGGACTGTGAAAGAGGTTCCCCTTAGATATCAAGGTTGACTTTGGTCTTCCCTCCTGCTGCTTCTCAGAGTTTTCCAACGTGGTTTGGATTCAGATGGAAGATTTCCTCCACCACCAGTGATAAAGGCCCCCACTGTGGCCTCTGCCCACTTCCCAGACTCCGAGGGATATTGCAGCCATGGTGAGAGACTGGGGTGAGGCTTATGGTTTGTGTCCAAGCATGGGATCAACCTTTGCAGGATCTGGGGTAGTCCTGCAGCTGGGGCCATACAGGTGTGAAGACTGGTGTGTCTATTAAACTGTGTTAGAGCAGCATTTTTCAACCTTGGCCCCTTTAAGACGGTGGACTTCAACTCCCAGAATTCTCCAGTCAGCACTGCTGGCTGGGGAATTCTGGAAGTCCACCCGTCTTAAAGAGGTAAGGTTGGAAAACATTGGATTAGTGGAAACTATTTAGATGAAGTGAAGGATAAAGCAATTGGGGAAGAAATGGAAGAATTATTAAACAAAGACATTACTTGGTTTGAATTGAAATCAGCAATAGAGAACCAGAAAAAACAATAAATCCCCGGGACCAGATGGGATCCCAGGGGAGCCGTACAAGGCTATAGCAGAACAAATAGGACCTCTTATGCTGGAAGTTTTTAATGACGTCTTATTGCCAGCCAGGATGCCAGACTCATGGAGTGGGGGGCATTGATTTCATTAGGCTACTGACACTGGAAATGCGTGTTTTGAAAAATGCTTCTCTACCAGCAATCCAGATGGTAAAAATGTCATTTTCTCTTTGCAATCGATCTTATTTCTATTCCTTTTTTCTTTTAAACTGGAAACAGATTCAGATACCTGCAGTGAACCCCGGAGCCAAAAAGGGTTGGATCACTATCTGGATAGCCTCTTTGATCCTGTGCTGTCCTATGGGAAAGGGGTAAGGCGAGCATCTACCTCCCCCACACCCCCTGGATTCCAAAAAAGGCCACCTTAAAGTACTTTGCATCTCATAGAAATCTGTTTTTCCAAGATCTGGGAAAACCCAGGTGTGAATTGCCAACATGTTGAAGGGAGATCCGACAGGTTAAGACTGCACGAAGGAGCTCAGCTCAGAGCATCACCCCATGTGGGTTCAGGCCCAGGGGTCTTGAAGCAGAGGGGGGGATTCAGCAGGTTCTGACCAGTTCTGGAGAACCAGTAGCGGAAAGTTTGAGTAGTTCGGAGAACCGGCCAATCCCACCTCTTCTCTGCCTCCCGTCAACTCCCAGCTGATCGGCTGGCTCTCCTTTGGTTGCCCTGCACTGGAGAACGGAGCTGGAAAGCAGGATAGTGGGAGGGGGAGGGTATGGGGATTTTGCAGTATCCTTCCCCTGCCACGCCCAAGTCACGCCACCAAGCCACGCCCACCAAGCCACACCCACAGAAGTGGTAGTAAAAAAAATTGAATTCCACCACTGTCTTGAAGGAGAAAACGGGCCTGTAGAGCCCCTTTGGTTTCTACCCCCTCAGGAACTGGAGAAGCCAGCGGCCATTTCACGAAGGATGAAAGGCGGTGGCCGCATTGGACATGGCAACGGTGACAATGTGACTGCTGCCGTCCCTCAGACCTCCAGTGAGTACAAGCTGGGTTGCCTTGGTCTATAAATCTGTTGAGAAAAAGCCAGCTTTCTCTGCAATCATTCAGAGTGTGCTAGTGCCCTCCAAGGGCATTTTATGAACATTTAGAAGTGCAGAAACACAACCGTAACAATAATATCCACGATCAAATTCTTCGGTTATCATTATCACTGCTGGAATAAGACCCAGCAGGTCCGAATTATATTACTAGACTAGAAATGGTTTGTGCAAAGGCAGACAATGATGGAGAAGAAAATTCTAGGGACCAGGGGCCACCCTAGCTGGATCTTATTACGGTTGGTTGTGGGGCTGCTCGGGAGTCAATCCACGGATTTCTGAATGCCAGGAAGGTGTTCTCTGTTTTTGCAAGCATTCTAGCATTCTTGGCGCACTCAAAGGGCTGTTTTCATCTTCCCTCTCCACAGGAAAGAAGGAGGAGGCTGTGTTGACACAGCTGGCTTTCAACAAACACCAAGAGTCAGTTCTGGTTAGTAAAGGCAGGAACTGTCCAGCTGAAGTGAAGGCTGTGAAGTAGAGGAGCACTGGATAGAGGGATGTGGGAATTTCTGAAACGAAATCGGTAATCATCCAGGTCACGGTTGCCTCAAAGGTGCTTTTCCAAAAGGCAACTGGACTTCTTTGGTTTTCTTCCTTGAAAACATTTCGCTTCTCATCCAAGAAGCTTCTTTACTTCATGGCTTCTTGGATGAGAAGCAAAAGGAAAAAAACGAAACAAGGAAACCCATCTGCCTTTTGGAAAAAGCACTTCTGGGACTTCGGAAAAGAAGCTTGCAGCATCCTGTACAGATTTTATTCTCTCCTGCTTTCCATGTTAGACACCTCAGTTTCCCAGGTGTGTTAAGGAGGGGAAGGAAGCCCAAGCAGACTTGCCAACCCTCAAACAACCCGTGGCCAACTTGGCCATGGGTGAGGGAGCCAGGAGCTGCTTTGGGGAGGCATCTGGGCACCTCCCGAGGCTGCATCCACAAGCCAATCCTTTCCCCCTTTCTGATGCCTTTCTACCCTTCTCAGCTGACCGGAGGCTCGCCCGACACTGGATACTCACCTCCCAGGCAGCCTCCGTATCCATTTCACCTGCAGGCTGGCAAGTGCCGTAGCCCTGGGCATTTTCCTGCTGCGTGTTCGGGAAAGGACGGGCTTTCAATCCACCCGTCTGCCCCAGAGCGATGGCCCAGGTCCGGGGGATGGTGGGTGGAGAGGGAAATGGCCTGGCAGAAGGGCCTCCTTTGCCTTCCCTGGACCACTCACAGGCAAGTGGGGAGCTGTAGGCAGGATTTGGGGGAGGGGTCCTGGGCCAAGATTCCTGCAGCAGGACCACAAAACCCAGGAGAAACACGGTTTCCAGTTTGCTAAGGCATTTCTCCACTGACCCACCTCTCCTTTGGACAGAGGGAAGCTGGGAAAAGGCTGATGGACGGATCGGGGTCGCCTTCAGGCATTGCACAGCGGAGGAGAACCAACCTTCAGAATCCAGGTAAGGAAACCCCAGAGGACCCGCCAGCTGCAGAATAAACGGCACGGGGGAAAAGAATGGTTTGCATTCTTATCCCCTCCTTGTGTAGGGGTTTATAACATTGGTGCGGGTTTTTATCTTTTGAAATGTGCGGTTTTTATACCTGTTGTTTTGTTCAATTGTTGTATACACTGCCCAGTGTTGATTTTTGTGAGGTGGGTGGTGTTCTGTCATATTAGATCAGAGGTCTCTAAACTTGGCAACTTGAGGACTTCAACTCCCAGAATTCTCCAGCCATGGGAGTTGAAGTCCTCAAGTCTTAAAGTTGCGCAAGTTTGGGGATTCCTGTATTAGATGGACACACAAATAAATATTGAGTGCTTAAGTTGAAAGTTAACCCTCATCAGTGGCCGGCATGCCATTTGCAAGGCAGCAAAACCTGCTTAACCACAAGTGCACAGAGAGGTTGCACGGACAGTTCAAAGGGGTTGAGAAGATCTAGCCATTGTGGTTTGTTAATCTGGGTTGGAGGATTAAAGCTTTCCTTGTTGCAAGAATCATCTCCCTCTGGTTTCCCTCCCGCCTCCCTGCGCAGAGTTTGGCTCCAGGCCTCAGGCCGGTGGGCTTGTCCGCCATTCCAAGCTGAATTCGGAACACAACCCCGAACCCACACAGAACATCCGCAACATCATCAAGCAATACCAGCAACCTTTGCAACTTTCAGAGCCGGTCAGGTCAGATCGGGTCCTCCCTCACCCTTTTCTCTCCCCCCCCCAAAAAAAGATTTATTGGGGGGAAAAGTGTGGGGGGATTGTGTTCCATCCTGATAATGTAAAGCTTCCACGTCTAGACGCAGCGTATCTGTAAACGTCAGGGGCTGGGGAATGTTTCCAGATTGTCAATTCTTGGTTGGGGGGGGGGGCTTTATTGGGAAAGGGCACGAGGGTTTTTGATCAACTGGATTTGGAAACTTCCGTTTGCCCTGCCTGTCTCTTCAGAAAGGAAGCGGGGAAGGTCTTTGTGAAGAAAATGGATCCCCACGAAGAAGCCTTGATGATCCTGAAGAGACAGATGGCACCCACAGGCGTACCTGTGAAGCCCCTTCAGGTAGGGCCAGAGGGCTGGCCTAGCAGACCCGCTTTCTCCCGCGTGGCTCCATGCGCCTGCTGCTGGCAGGGAAGCTGAGGCAGGCGAGAGAGGAGACCTGCACACCGGCAAAAGCCATAGCACAAACCAGAAATAAATGCAGAGAGAACCTGAAGAAGAGAGCGGCCCAAAGTCTGTTAACCTCAAAATGTGGAGCTGATAGCCGGCCTCTGAGCCTCCTGCTGGTCCTTCCATGTTGGGCTGCCTCTGCTTGCTCACTGGCCCTTTGAACCCCTGAAAAAAGAGGGGCAAGAAGGAGAAATTGGAGTGTTTCCTTAGGGCAGCTCTGCCAAGCGATGCCGGAGAGAGCAAGCAAAGGAGGAATGTTTGCGTGGAAATTGGATCCCCTAGAATAAGGATGGGCGCTCGAAAAGCACCGTGGCCAAAGACCCTTGAAACTTAGGGCTGATCCCGGGTGGTTCACTAAGGAGGCAAAGTAAAAACAAGAACCAGCAACCAGGTTGAGCATCTGCCAAGGACAATGCTGGATCCCCTTTGGGTAATGTGTGAAATGCCTTCTTTGCAGGCTACCCATGAACCAGCACCAAGGGAGATCATCGCCATGGTGAGGCCAGTGGCTAGTTCGAAGGTGGTCGAACCCCCTGCTGTGGCCCCATCTTTGCCCGATGCTCCTTCAGGTTGGTTGGTTGGATTCCTGGCCTGCGAGAACCAACATTTTTTGCTTGGTGATGATTCTCCACCTACCACCTACCAGCCACGGGTTGGTTCCTCCCGCACTAACTAGAGCCATGAATTTCGGAGACTGTGATTGTTATGATTGCTTTCGCCGCATAGGCTGTCCTTTCCTGCCCAGTGGGTACTTTTTCCCCTTTAGAAAGAGAGAAAGAACCGTCGACTTTCTCCCATCCAGCTCCCACCTCACGAGAGTTGGCACCAGAGGACGAGACGGTCCAGACAAAACTTTACGGCCGGAGCAGCAAGTTCTATGGGTACCACAACGTCTCCTGGAAGATCTACCTCAGGAAAGAGGCAGGTTTTTAGGGACTCCCTCTCGGTTTTCCTCTCCTGGCTGTGGGGTAAACAGGGCCACGCTTTATAAAGACAGGGCAGAAGAACGATCTGCTGGTGGCTTCTCAGACTAGAATTCGGGGCAGTCAAAAAAAAGCACCCAGCCCTGGAACTTATCAGGGCAGAGGAAGAGGAGAAGAGTCCGAAAGGTCTGTAGATGGCTAACAGGCTCTGAGAGCCAGATCGGGCCTCCACGTTCAGTAGCATTTTATTTTTGAGCTGCAGACAAATATTTTAGAGAAATATTCTAGAGAACCTGCTCTGGCTGCCAGGAGTTGTAATCAAGATGCTGGTGTAAGGAACGTTAAAGCCGACAGCTGGGCTGGATGGAGCCTTTGGGTGTAGCACCCCCAGCCCCAATCACACTACCCCAAAGTTTTCCTCCTTCCTTGCAGGTTTTTTACCCAAAGGAGACTATCAGCAGCCCTCTTCTGCTCGATCTCCTTTTTCGGCAGGTGAGTGACCTCTGGCGTGCAATTTTGCCACTGATGCTCCTCTAGTCTAAACCATTGGTCACCTGGGAAGGTGCGTCCCAAGTTTCCTTGGACCTCAGATTCCTCCCTGGGTGGGTTATTTAAGGGTGAATTTTCCCCTTCCGTGCGATGCAATGCTATTGAACTCTATTCTTTCTGAGTTAGTTTATTAAACTTTCTATGCCAGCCAGACTGCTGAGGTCTGCTGGCAGCTTATAATCAGATAGAAACTCCCAATTAAATATTTTCCATAAGCAAAATCGTTGGCTTCTTGGCGTTATCCAAGTTGGGTGGTTTTCCTGCAAACGTTTCATTACCAGTCTAGGTGACCTCCTCAGGGCATGGGGGAGTGTGATTAAACCACACTTCAATCAAGACAGCCAGCAGATTTTACTTTTCATGCATTGATCATAAAAACTGCAGAAAACCACCAAGCTCAGAGAACATTAAGAACGGATCTGCTCATGTTCTCTACACTTTAAATCAAACCTACGTTGTGAAGGCCTTTCTGAGAGCCAACCAAGATTTCTTCTCATCTTGTCTGAGTCACTTTGCAGATCTTCAACGATACTCTGTCGGACGCCTGCATTCGTCTCACCGAGGAGGAGAAGCTACGCATGAAAGCTCTCTTTGGTAACTACCGTTGAGAGGAAGGGAGGGTGGAAGAACTTCAGGCGTTTTAGAAAAATGCCCCAAAGCTACTAGTGGCTGGAAGCATCTTTTCTGCACCAACTGATGCCTCTAAGTGTCTCGATCAGCCAGAAGTATGGAACAGAACCATTCCACAGGTGTCATGTTCAGGAACATTCTCCTTCTGGACACGGGTTTCTGAAAGAGAGGAAAGCGTGGCTCTCCTTGTCCTTCTTGCTGGGAGTCCTTCTTATTTCCAAGAGGACTAGGCTGGCCATTGTGGGAAAAATATTCTTCTCTCTACAAAAAACTGGATGTACTGCTGTGGTGGAATGTAGTCTGGATTCCCAGCAGGGAGGGGCTGCATTCCAGAGGAGACCGCCAAGTTTAGACAGCTTGTGTGAAAGAAAGAGGGTGGAGACAGCTCTTCCCTAATGGTTCCTGGGTCTGTTTTAGTCTGGCAAGGGTCTGTCTCTAGGTGAGACCCAATAGAGGAAACTGCTGGTTGAACATTTAGCTTTAAATCTTAGATTTTCAACTCACAAACTTTTAAAAGAAACCAGAACGAGAGAGGAATGGGGTAAGAGTTTTTCCCTATCGGAAACCTTCCAAGAACACCCGTGTGGTTGGCTTCTCATCCAACAGCGGACAACAAGCTGGACTCCTTCAGTCCGGTAGCCGATGAAAGCGTCAAGAGGGAAATTATCCGCGTGGCCCGAGAGAATTGGGAGGTGTACTTCTCCCGCCTTTTTCCAGCTACGGTAAGAGAATTCTCCGAGAATTCCCACACAACCCTGAGAGGAACTTCAGGCAGGCTATAGTCCAGCCAGTCAAGAGGGCCCCTCTTTCGGCACATTAATTTTGAACCGTCACTGAACGAATGGTCTGAAGTCATTGTGTTGGTATTTTGCGCTGTTATATTTTAGCAGCAGCTCTCATTTCAGGGGTGTGAACCCGGAATCCTTTCAGAGAGCTCTTCTTTTGGCTTGCTTGAAGCGGCAGCTTTCCTTTCCTTGGGTGATGGCTCCGGCCTTGCCCACTTCCCTCTCTCCCCCTTCAGGGCAGCGTTGGCACCGGAGTGCAAATCCTGGCTGTCTCTGACAAGGGGATTAAACTCCTGCAATTGGTCAAAGGGGCCAATCTCCCTGGGGAGCAGGTCCGGGTGCTGCGAGGCTACAGGTAAGTAAGGCCAGGGCACACCTGTCCAGAAGAGAAGTAATAGGATAACAGAGTTGGAAGGGCCTCAGAGGTCTTCTAGAACAGGGGTCTTCAAACTTGGCAAGTTTAAGACTTGTGGACTTCAACTCCCAGAATTCCTCCTCCTCCAGTCATGTTAGCTCTGGAATTCTGGGAGTTGAAACCACAAGTCTTAAAACTTGCCAAGTTTGAAGGCCCTTGTTCTAGATCAACCCCTTGCAATTAGCGATGAACCAAGGGACCCCTTTGTCTCCTCCACACCCCTTCATCACCACCACCAGCTACAGTGAGCTCCTGTTTGTCACCATCCCCTCAAAGAACATGCTGGAGTTCAACCTGGTCCATGAGAAGATGATCCTCTTCTCCCCGAAAGCCATCCAGGTAAAGGCCTTGATCGACTACTTCATCATGGAGCTCAAGAAGGTAAGACCTCGGGGTGGGGTGGGGAATTTGCTTGGGGGAGAGAGCTGCAAGGAAGAGCAGAGGTGGAGGCCAATATCTCAGAGCCCCAGATGCACCCAGGGGTCTTCCTTGCAGGGATGAACGGGCAGCTGGGCAGCTTTGCTCAGTCCAGCATTTTGAACCAGACACTTGTGGGTCTTTTTTCTCACAATGTAGGACTCACAATATATGGTTGCCATTAAGAACCATATCACAAATGCTGGAAACCTTCTGAGTTTTCACAAGGGAGACATCATTTGCCTGCGACCAATGGAGGGCCTGGAACCAGGTGAGAAACCTGAACAGGAGAAAAATTTTAGCAGAAAAGTAACCCAGCAGCAACAGGAAGATAATAATAAAATTTAGGCCGGAGTTGGCATTTTTATCCACGTACCCCAGATCCTTGAAAAGGATTTGACAGGTGGACCAAAATGCCAAATCCAGTCTAAACATCTGGCCGACTGTGAGACAAATCATGAAAATAATAATAGCAGCTGCAATAACTATACACGGGGTAGAGAAAGCATTGCTTTGGTTTCATCTTTGCAGACGTAGGGATTAGCAAGTTTCCCAAGGTGATCCGTTTCCTTCATGTCTCAAATATTCCCTTGTGCTGAATGACGGAAAATCCATCTCCGCCCTTCGGAGTTGAGCCCACCCACCCTTTTCATCCTCAAAAGAGGCTCAGGTGTCCGACAGATGCAGGCGAACGCTGGTTGAATTAATCATCATTCAAGATGTTGAGACATGTGTCCTCGGATGCCCTTGAGTTGAGATTCACGGCCCAGAGGCTCCAATTCTTCTGGCATTCTGGAATGTCTGATTTGGTCTGTTCTAACCGTCGTTTATACATGTGGCCTCGTGATGATGAACTAAACACATGTTGGGTGCACGAACAAAAGGGGGGGCATTTCTGAAAGACGGTTAGCGCATCTCTGAATGCCAGTCTTGAATCTGGGGTAACAATTGGAGTCCCCCCCACAAATAGCCAACGAAAGGTGGCTCAGGGCTAAGATGCTGAGCTTGTCGATCAGAAAGATCGGCAGTTCGGTGGTTCGAATCCCTAGCGCCACATCATGGAGTGAGCTCCCGTTACTCACCCCAGCTTCTGCCAACCTAGCAATTCAAAAGCATGTTAAAAGAATGCAAGTAGGAAAATAGGGACCCCTTTGGTGGGAAGGTAACTGCATTCCGTATGCCTTCAAAGGCCTGCCAGCCACATGACCACGGAGACTTTGGACAGCGTTGGCTCTTCGGCTTTGTAAGGGAGATGAGCACCGGCCCCTGGAGTCGGAAACGACTAGCATGGATGTGCGAGGGGAACCTTTTCCTTTACCTTTAAGTAGCCAACAATCATTCCTTGTTCCTTTTGACTTCACGTTCGGCCGTCATCCTGGCCTTGCTAACCGCAAATGTAGTTCTTTCTCAGCACTTTTCAGGGTGAAAAAGGGAGTTTGCACACTGAGCCGTCTTGACACTTAACAGGCCATGAAAGGACATTCCAGATTTTCCAATATGCTGTTGACCTGGACACCCTCCAGCAACTTGGAAGGGGTGATAAATAAATGAGTTCCGAGGGAGCCCATGAAGGCAAAGCATAAAGAATTAATGCAATTTCCCTCTGATGCATAAAAGGAGACTTGAACCCAAGAGAAGGGGGTGAAATGAAACGTGGCTGCAAAAGGAATCAATCAGAGAAGCCCGTGAAAAGAAATTGAAAACATTTTTTTGGGGGGGGGGGCGGAGAATAATCTTAATAACAGCCCATAGATACAAAGGCCGGGGGAAGCCAATAGGGAAGGACTGATTATGCAGAAAAATAGCAAATGGAAAAGACAAGGAGAGAGAAGAGAAGGTGCAAAAGATTTTAATGGAAATAGAGATGAAAGAGGGAGGCTTAATGAGATCTCCAGGAAGGGAAACATGTTTTACAGCAGATTAAACTTTCATAACGCCGTCTGTCTATGTTCTCGATAAGAGAGAATGGAAACGAAAATGACTTTTGCAAAAAGAAGGAATGCAAAGTGAAGCCTCATCATCACCGCCAAGGCAAACGGGGAGGGGTTGAGATTGAGACGGTTGGCCATTCTGGAGGGAAGCGTTCTTGGGGGTCCTTCTGATGCCCCTGCGCTTCTCCCACCTACAGACCACTATTATGGCTGCGTGGTGAGGAAGAAAGTGATTCTCCTGGAGGAGGTCAAAAAAGGCACCCAGGATTTTGGTGGGTGGCTTTGGTGTGGTGTGGAGTGCAACACTCTGGCTCTCTTCCAGATTCTTCTTCTTCAACATCTTCCACCTTTCCACTGCATGCTGTTTTTCATTGTTATTTCCCCCCTTGAGCAAACGGAATCCTTGGTTGGAGATGTTTAGAACTTCCTAGGTCTAATCAACAATGACCTGAGCATGAATGGGCAAATGTGGCCCCTTTATGACCTGAGCACTTCAACTCCCAGAATTCCTAAGCCAGGAACTCTGGAGTTGAAGTCCATAGATTTTAAAGTTGCCAAGGTTGGATAGAGGAAAGTGGGGTAGAAACCAATTGAGTAGACCTCTGTGAAACCCACTCCTCTTCTTTGGGGGAAGGTGGTTGGAAGACCATCAAGAGGGAGAATCTCTTGACAACTGTCCTGAGGATTTCTTATTCCTGGGACAGGCTGGAAGTTTGGTGCCATCTATGGGAAATCGGGGCTCTTCCCCTCCAGCTGCGTCCAACCAGTGGCAGCCCCAGATTTCATGCAACTGCCCACGGAGAAGAAGGAGGACCCCAGCAACAAGCAGGCCAAGGTGGCTGGTCCAGCCTCGGTGGCCGTGGCCGTGGCATCAGCAGCTGTGGCTCAGGAGCTGGACAGGAAGGTTGAGGCAAGTCGGTCGTGGAGGTGTGAATGCCCTTGTGTGGCAGGATACGGGATTCAAAGGAAGGAGGCAGGAGCAGGCATATGGGTCCTGTTGTTCCTTGGTTGAACATGCTTGGTTTATGATAACGGCATGTCCCGGGAACAGGTTGCTTTCGTCCAAATGCCTTGCAGGTCAAAACAGGAATGAGTGATTGAAGTGGTTTGATTGATTTGGTTATGGTTATTGTTTTCATCTGGAGCCATGGTGGCATAGCGACTAAACTGCAGTATTGCAGGCTAATTCTGCCTACTGCCAGCAGTTTGATCCTGACTCAGCCTTCCATCCTTCCGAGGTGGGTAAAGTGAGGACCCAGATTGTTGGGGGCAACAGGCTGACTCTGTAAAACCACTTAGAGAGGGCTGTGAAGCACTGTGAGGCAGTATATATATATAAGTCTAAGTGCTATTGCTATCTGCAAAGCTTTGGAGAGGGAGAAATGGTGACCTCATGGCTGGAGATAAAGAATGTGGACCGCTTTCATTGAGTCAAAGAAGGACCCCTACTTGATTAGCCACCTCATCTCTGCAGCCCTTATAAATGTGGGGGATTTCACGCCCAAAGACCCCATTTCCTGAACGGGCCCATCGGTGCTGTGCCAATGTTATTATTACTTGCATCTTTGCAGACTGGCAGAGAAGCTGCATTGCAAACCCTTATGGGTCACTTTTGCTCTCTCCACCCTGGCAGGTTTCCCCAGTGGGCGAGGAATACTTGGAGAGCTGGGAAGGATTTCAAAGCCCCGCAGAGATCAAACCCAAAGGAGGCCTTTTCACCATGCTGGAGTTTGCCAAGAAGTATTTTCGAGAAGGGCAGAAGGCAAAGACGTGAGTGATGGCAGAGAGAGGGATGTGTGGCAGGAAAAGTAGCTGAGTGAAAAAAGTGAAAGAAGCAGAAGAGAAGAGAACAAAGCAATTCCAGGAAGCCACCATCTCCCACATTCTCTGGGAATACCCCATATTTAGGTAACCCCTGATATAGTTGGGGGGCCCCTGGGAGGTCCCAGAGGAAAGCTGAGAGTGGGCGGGGGGCGGAGAGAGAAGCAGGCAAGGTGAGAGATAGAGAAGATCTTTCATAACCAGAAATGAGTTTTGACCCCAGCAGCTTACTGAGAAAACAAATATCTGAAATGTTCACCAGAGAAAAGGGATTCTTGTTTATTTCTGGTCAAGATTTTGAAGATGGGCATCCTACAGTTGGAACCCTCCCTCTCCCCCAAAACACACAGCATTCCTATTTTCATTTTTTATTGACTTTATGATTTCAGGGACAAACAGAAATCGAAGAAGGGTGGCGAATCTAAGACGGTGGTGGATATTCTGAAATACACCAAGGTGACCGTGATGATCTCCCTCGGGGCCACAGATCCCCTGGTCCCCTGGCTTTCTATTCTCACTTTTGCAACAGAGCCAGCATGCTGTGCACAGCAGAGCCACGGTTTGGATAGGTTCCTCTTCAATCGGAGTCTATACCCACCAGAGCACGCCAAATATCTTGCCCACTTATTTCCACGTGTAGCTTCCTCCGGTGAGCGTGATTCCCATACCCAACTGATCATCTCACTTTCCCCCCTTCCTGGCTTTTCAGTGTCCCATCCAGGAGTCACTCATTGGATTTGCCAACAGCAGCCTGAACAAAATAGCAGCAGAATCCTTCCAGGGTGAGTCCTTCTCTCGTAGCCAGGTGCCTGTCTCTCCTAGGAAGACCTTGGCACCCTGTGCTGACAGAAGCTCTCACGGGAGAGAGTTTTGAGGCCAGAGTTTTGTGGTTGTTGCGTCTACTCTTTCTTTTTCTCTCGTCGGCCCTACAAGCTTGGCAACCAAGACTGGTTGGCTTATGATAGCAGCACGAGCTATCCAAGCTTTGGAACAAGTTGCTTCCCCCCACCCCACCCCCCCAATGCTCTGCACGTCAAAACAGCAACGAGTGATTTAAACTCTGTGATTGATTTGGTGGTGGTTAGTGTTTTCATCTTCAAAGCTTTGGAGAGAGAGAAAGAATTGGTTCCAGCACCGTTCCAAAGGACAGCAGTCTTGGAAAAATTGTGCAACAAGGTCACCTAGTGTAATAAGATTGGGACTGGGTTAGGGACTTCTGTCCTCACCCTGAGTTGTGTTGTGGTGGGGGGGGTGCATGAAGGGAGGCTCAGCCAATCTCATTGTACGCATGTTGTACTTTGACAATAAAGGTAATAATAATGGTAATAATAATAAAGTCTTCCATCTCTTCTCCAGCCCATCCAGGCTTGGAGAAGTCAGCCAATGATCTACGGCTCTGAGTGGATTTCTGGTGTAAATTAGGAAAATGAGCTCATTCTGTAACTAATGTAAAGCTTCACCAACTAAGTGTTCAGCCATAATGCTAAGCATGCGGTAGGATGGGCAGACAACAATGGATCTGAATGACATCTGAACCGAACCAAGGTAGGAGTGGTTGAAGAGATAATCCCAACTTAAAGGGGTGTGTGTGTTTCTTTTGTGTTTCCCCAGCTGTGATGAAGTTCATGGGTGACCTTCCACTCAAAGGACAATCTGAGCTGGATGTGGCCTATGCTTTGTTGAAGGTAACCCTCTTTCCAGTGTTGGCTTGCATCAAACCTTGTAGAACAGGTGATGGACGTGTTCCAGGCTTTGACGGTGCTTTTTTTAGTGGAGGGGGTGCAATTGAAAGGTGAAGGTACCTTAAGCCAAGTGTAGACTAGCTGTACATCTTCTGAAATTGTGTTTTGCTGCCAAATTTCTGTAGTTTTTGTGTTTTGGAGAGTTAAGGATCCTGCAAATATAGGAGTTAGGGAGCTCATTACCAACAAGGATGGTCTGTTTTTTGGATTCCATGTGGTCTCAGAGCACCCTAACTGGCCAAGCCTTTCCAGGTGAGAAAGTCTTTGGGAGAACCAGTGGTTGACCAATGAGAGAGAGATTATGAATATAGACACCTTCCTCCCATGCTTTTTCCCTGCTTCTTCTCCAGCTCTGTGGAGACCACGAGGTCATCCGGGATGAAGTTTTTTGCCAGATCCTCAAACAGATCACGGACAACGTCAGCAGCAAGACGTAAGCCAACCTTTCAATCTTTCATGGCTTTCCGGAGTCCAATGTTGTGTTCCCTAGGGTTCTCCAGGTGAGTTGTATTTCAACTCTCCTAGCTGCCAGGTGTGCTGGCTCAGGAGTATGGGAGTTGAAGTAGCACATATCCCAAGGACACCATGTTGGAGCAAGCTGCAGTAGGTAATAGCAAACTGTGGACATAGCCTCCTCGGATAACTCACCTTTTGTCCTTGGGCAGTCGACTGACGGAGAAAAAAAACTTCTCAGCCCAAAGCAGTTTGGAGATAGGGCTGCTTTGGAGAAAGCTTCCCCTAGTTGGGGCATTTCAGGAGAAAGGCAGAAACGCAGCTTTCTAATGTTCCAAGCCAATAGCTGAATTTCGATGCCAGGGAGCCCTTGTGTTAGCTCCGTGGTCCCAAGAGAGGCCAGGAGAACCACTGCCTGGGTCAGTCCTGCTCCTACCTCTGGCTATGAGTAGACCCTCCCCAAGATCCAGCTGAACTTTCACACTGGTGTCTCCTTTTGGTAGGGACAGCTGCCCCAAAGGATGGAGGCTTCTGTACATCCTGACTGCCTATTACAGGTGCTCCGAAGTCTTCAAGCCCTACCTTCTACAGTTCCTGCAGGAGGCCTCTGCCCACCCTGGTTTGCATTTCCAAGGTGAGAAATGCCGGAGCTTTCCATGAAAAGACCCCCAGTGTGGCCCGGGATCATTTCAACTCAGACCTCTCCTAGGCTGCCTTAACAGAGGGATAGAATCAGGATCACTCGGAGTGTTCATACCGCTTTATAAGGCCTTGGTAAGGCCACTCTCGGAATACGGCATCCAGTTTTGGTAACCACGATGTAAAAAAGATGTTGAGACTCTAGAAAGAGTGCAGAGAAGAGCAACCAGGATGAGGAGGGGACTGGAGAGCCATACCCACCAATTTTCGCTTTTTAGCTTTTTTAAAAAATGGAAGAACAGCTGCAAAAGACAATAGGGAATTGTTTGAGGAAATCCTGGGGTTTTTCCCCCCAGCGCTCTGTACAGCCAATGCTCTAATCTCCCATTTCAAAGGATCAAACTAGAGTCTTTTAGGGTTTTGGGTTTTATAATTTGTAATAATGGAGTTATTAAAAAAAAAAACCCAAACGTGGAAACTATTTTCCAATCGTGGAAATTTCTCCTTCTCTCATCCACAAGAAACATGGCCTCCCCGAGGGGATGTAAAGTGAATTAAATGCTTCGATTCCTAGGACAAGGCAGGTGTTAAAATCTAGCTGTTAGAGGAAGAAAACTGACAGGGCTTAAGCCAAAATTCATCCATCAAACGTACTTGCTCGCCAATCGCTTAAAATGTGGAAATGAATCCATCTGCTCTGTCTACGGCTGGAAGAAAGCCTGCTGGGTCGCATGGCAGCCCAGGGTTATTTTCTCATTAAACCCTCCCCGGTGGGACGGAGGCGATTGGCCAAGATGGATGACCCCTGGCTTGACTTCCAGCTGGGCCATGATTTCAACCCATCAGCCCCTCTCTTCGGCTGGAGAGGTGCGCCGCTGCCACTGGAGGGAATCTGGGGGCTGGGGAGGCTCTCGACCGCAGGTGGTTAGGGAATGAATCAAGCAGGGAAATTGCCCCCCGTCCGGTCCTGCTTTTTTAGGGCTCCGATCCAAGTTCTGCAGAGGGCAGGCAGGTCCGCCTAGGCTGGAGTGAGAAGACTTGGTCTCATGAGTGGGGCTTCTCCACGGGCGGCCGAGCCTGTTCCACCTCTTCTTCGGGGGGTTCACCTCTCCGCTCCTCTTCCTTACCCTCCCTCAGGCATCGCCAAGGCCTGCGAGCAGAATTTGCTGAAGACCTTCAAGTATGGGGGCCGCTGTGCGTTTCCAAGTACCGTGGAGCTCCAAGCCTTGGTGGTGAGTCCTTGACGGGAGGAAGGAGGCAGGGAGGGAGGGAGGGAGGGCAGGATCCTATCAGCTGGGAAGGGGTCACCTGGAGAGGGGTGGTGGCTTTGCTATGGGCTGAAAGAGATGGGCAAGCAAGGCGCTTCCACTTTCCCATGTATGTCCCTAATAATTTTGCTTTTCTCCATCCTCCTCCTCCTCCTCCTCCTCCTCCTCCTCCTCCTCAGGCTGGAAGAAGTTCAAAGCGCCAGCTTTTTCTCCTCCCAGGAGGGATTGAAAGGCACCTCAAAATCAAGACTTGCTCGGTGAGTGCCCCAAAAAACAGCCTCCCTCCCCTGATCTGATGTGCAGCCAGCAAATAAAAGGGGGGTGTTTGTACACTAAACTCCAAAGTGGCCCGTTTCAAGTGTCAGCAATGCACCAGCCAGCCCAGCATTCTCCTTCCATGGAATCTTGCAGAATGTAGTATCTTTCCTCTGTATGAGTTCATTTCCAGAGCTTACTCCAAAAGACCATATCCGTCTCTTCAGGAAGCAAACTTAAAGTCCCATTTAAAACTTTTTTCTGCTCGAAAGGAGCTTTCAGCCCAAATGGGCCGAGTCCACTCTGTTACTTTCCCCAAAGACAGATCCTACGCCATCTTTCCCCACAAACTCAGGTGGAGAACATTTATTCTCCCTCCTTTTCCAATGTTTCTTCCTCCTCTACAAATACCAAGAACGAACATTTGTCTGGCAGAAAAATTCTGTGCGGTTCCAAAATTTGCATTCCGCATTTTGATCTGTTGCTAGGCACCCGCAATCTGTCCATTCACTTTTCTAGGTGGCCCAGGATGTCATACAAGAGATTTGCTTTGAAATGGGTCTGCAGCAGCCGGAAGCCTTCAGGGAATACATCATTTTTGCTGTCTCTAGTAAAAGTGAGTCGATGAGGCTGGAAGGGAGATAATTTCCCTTATCCAGGCATTGAGAAATAAATCACCTTCCTTTCTGTGGACTGCATCTTTCAGGTGTCCAGCAGCCGCATCCATGCTCCAAAGCCACCCAGCACGTCCTAATGACTTGCAGGGTTTTCTTTAGCCCCTAACACCAGGCGGGGGTGTGTGTGTGCACGCTTTCCCGGGAATATCTGGTTAATCTCAGATTCTCATTCTTGGTTGGGTATCACAGAGTTCATATCGTTAGAGCCATTGATGAATTCTTTCAGTTTGTGTAATCCACCTTAACCTCAATATTTGGGATCCACATAGCTTTAAAGCCAAGAGATGCGGCCCCTTTTCTCTTGGTTTATGCAGGAGAAATGTAGATGTTTCCTTCACCAGATTAACTTAGTCTTCTGTGTGGGGCTGCAGGGAACTAGCTGGCCCATCCATCGACAAAGGGGAGTTCTCATTTGGCTGTAGGTCGCTTCAAAAACTTGATTCCCTCCGTTTCCACATCCCAGATCAGAATGTCCGGCCTTTGGACAGGCGGGAGTACATCCTGGATGTTACCCTGGAAATGGAGAATGTGGACAGCAGCTACATGTTCTGGTACCGGCGTGTGATTTGGGCCCAGCCACTGAAATTTGACAATGAACTCTACGTCACCATGCATTACAACCAGGTGAGACCCTCTGAGAAAATGTTGAGAAGAAAAACTCAAGTTTTGGTTCTGTTCTGAGAAGTTTCGAGCACCCTTTTTCTTAACTTAACCTGATTACATTAGTTAAACTCTACTAGCCACATGGGAATGCAGTAAAATACTGAAGCTTCCTACTAATCCAGTACAATAATGCAAAAAATCAAAGATTTAAAATACACTGAGCAGCTTGTGCTGCAGGACACAATCTCTCACAGGCTGGTCTTTTTCAAGTGAGTCCAGCGTCATCTTCTGTCACCCCCATCAAACTCACCTGGAGGGTCTCGGGTTGAGTTAAGGCTCTTTCCTAGCCGTTGTGATGTCACTGGTGCCTCTCTTACAGATACTACCTGACTATCTGAAAGGTCTCTTCAACATCTCATCTTCTGCAAAGCCAAGTGACCAACAGCTCCAGCAAATCTCCAAACTGGCTGCTCTCCAGCTCTGGGTGAAGGGCCTGGCAAGCTTGTAGGTGTAACCTTGGAGTAGGGTGGTGTTTGGACAAGGCTAATGCCGCAGGCAAGAGGGAGGCTGACTCCTGGCCGAGCGGGCAAAGTCTGGGTGGGATGGTCACCATTTTCTGGGTGTGAGGCTGTAGCACCATCCACGGGATTGTCGTTCTGTCTCCTTGGCTTGGAGGAGGGGAGGCTTGGTGGAGAACTTCCCTTTAGCGCCTCATGCCCCTGTTTCCTCAGCTGTCTGTGACTTCTCACCTACTCCTTCTGCTTCCCCTCCAAGAAGGGAAATTCAGGACTACATCCCACCCCAGTTCTACCATCTGCAGAAGGCTCAGGCGTGGCTGGACATGGTGGCCCCCTTCATGCATGAAGCACAGGCCTTGAGCGCCCACCAGGCTCGGTCCCAATTCTTAGGTAAGGCCTTCTCCTTCCAAGGGGCCAGAAAGGGAAGGCAGACCAGCCTCCCTCCTGGAGTTAAGCTTCAAGAATGACGGTTGGCCAAAAGAAATGCCTGCGGTGTAACCCAGCCCTGTGTTCCTTGTTTCAAGAGTTCTCGGCTGCTAATCTCCCGGATTCCCTGGCAGCTGCACAATAAACATACAAGTAGGGTTGGATGAGAGTCGAGTGAGAAAGAGCCCTACTCGACTCTCTGGTTGTGATTGTTCTGGAAAGTGGTGACCAGAGGCTTCCAGATGACCTATGGAAGAAATAATTATCCCCTGCAATGAACATCAAGAACATAAGTGTGATGTTCACTAAGAAATTCTTGATGTCTTATTCATGATTTAAGGCAGGGATAACCAACTTTGGCCACTTGAGGACTTATGGATTTCAACTCCCAGAATTCTCCAGCCATCAAGTCCACAAGGCTTCGAGTGGCCAAGGCTGGCATTCTTGATTTAAGGGATGCAATCCTCTAGTTCTTGTAATTTCTTCTAAACGAGTAAGCCTTGCTCCCACTGAAGGTTGTGAATTCCCCGAGTTTGCAAGGAAGAGCTCTCCACAACCGCCACCTATGTAGGTCCCAGCCTTGTTCTTTGTGGACCTCCTGTTGCAGGTCCTTCTTTGAGCTGATGGTTGGCCTCCCATCCATTGCAGGGCTCCTGAGCGCCTTCCCCATGTTTGGTTCTTCGTTCTTCTACATTCAGAGTTGCAGCAACACCACCATTATTTCACCCTGTATCCTGGCTGTGAACCAGAATGGGCTGAATTTTCTCCACAAGGAAACTCATGTAGGTGTTGCGTGTTTGTTCCTCTCAGGAGGTTTTCTTCTGTTCTGGTTGCTTGCTTGCTTTCTGCTATGGAAAGTAGGCTTGGACTTCATGCCACTCCCTGGGGGAAACCCTGAAAGGGGTTTACCAACAGATAGTCCCGCAGGATAATTAAAAACGATGAGTTCTCTGCCTCAAAATATGGAGGATCTCATCTGCATCATCGGAGCAAAGCTCCCATTGAACAAACCAGGAACAAATTTGATCATTATGACTTTAGAATGTACAGAGAGACAAGCACACACCCCCAGTCACATTCCCACAATGGACGTATCAAAAAGGAAGAAAGAATTGAGAGAGGAGGTGTCCTCCAGGATCAACTAGGTAGAAGGGAGTTTGGAGATTCCAAAGAGCTGTTTTGTGGGAGAATCTCTGCAGGAACTTTCGTGACTTCATGCAAGATGTGAATGGGATGGACACAGGCGTTAAGGGACTATATACACGATGCATGGGATCAAAAACCAGCTCAGGGCCTGGGCTTCTCTGGTTCTTAGCCACAGGGGTCAGGGAGGGTCTGGGGCGACAGAAATTGTGGTTTAGGTTGCTGCTCTTCTTCTAAAAGTTTCCTCCTCCACGGCCTAGGAACCCATCATGACGTTCTCTCTGAAGGAAATCCACTCTACTCGGACCCAGAGACCCTCGGCTGGATCCAGCTACCCCTACGTGGAGATTATGCTGGGAGATCTGATGTCTCACAGGATCACACAGCTGCAGCTTAAGCAGGTATAGCAGGGGAAGTGCAGGTCCCAGGAGAACCCCACAATTTCTCCACAGCAGGACCTGGTCAAGGAAGGTGGTTGATGGGTTTGAGGCCTGTCATTCAAATTGTCGAGTTTTTCCTTTTTTTTGAAAAAAGTCAAGGAATTGCTTCTCAGGGAAATCGTTGGAGAAACTAGGGTGGGTTTTCTTTAAAGTGGCTTTTGTGCACAGCCCCATAAATGTGTAGTGAAAGTTTCGAGGGCTCTTTCTCAGACAAGGCAGTTGTCAAATTTTAAGCCACAAAACAAAAAGTCTGAAAGACAAGCAAAATGAGGAAGATTTGTTTTATTCCACATAATATCTAAATAAAAAAATGAGAAAGATGCAAACCATTATTTAAATTGATCTGTGGATTTGGTTGGATTTTGCAGCCAGAATTCCTTGTTTTCCTTGTTTGAAAATTTAGACTGCCTGATTGTTAAGAATGTGTACAGCAAGCTTGGCCAGATTTTTTTCAGAATATATTGGCTCCATGATATGTTAAGACGTATTTTGACTTTGTTGGAAGTATGTTGAAACTCGGTGAAATAAGCTTAACTCATTTTCCTCCTTTCTCTTTCTGTCTCCTTCCCTGTCTCTTTCCCTGTCTCCTCCCATTGGCTTTGTGAAGCTTAACCTTCAGATGGTAGGTGTTTTCCTCATAATAATTCTGATAAGGTATTGGGGTGCAACCTTTGAAGTGTTCCAGGTGCTTCACTTGGTTTGTTTTGCTGTCCTGACCCCCGCCACATCTGCAGAGTAGGGCAAAACAGCTGTCCAGGTTCTATCGGAGGGGTAGGACAGATGGGGGTTGATCTAGGATCCGTGAGCTTAGGATGGGAGAGCATTAGAAGCGCCGGAACTCTTCAGTGAGTCGAATCGACTGACCCAGCATGGCAGATCATGCCGCTTTTAAAGCTCTGAATAAACCCCCAAGAGGCACGTCCTGACTTCCGTGGTGTCTCCTTTTCCCCTGCAGGGCCTGGAACTGTGTCGTGTCATTGCCACCCACATGGAGAGCCTGCTGCATGCCCGTGAAAAGCAGCTGACGCTGCCCCCAAGCGAGATCACTTTGTTGTGACCGGCTGCTCTGCACTCTCTCTCTCTCCCAGATCCCAAAGCAGATCCTGGCCCTACGATTGGAAGGTGTTTCTGATGTCAACTCCTAAAATATTTCTATGGTCATTTTAGAGTTGTCAACAGAAACGGAGGGAGAAGGGGTTTGAAAGAGCAGTGCGGCAGCATGGAAATTGAAAGTGCATTCCATAAATAGTTTTTCAGATATTGTAACTAGATGACTGAAATTTTGTAATTGGAGAACATGATTGATGATTCTTGGCTATGGATGTGTCCCATTGGAGAATATGAATGATGATACACCCAGGGAGTGTGGGGAAACCTGGGTCAAGGGTGACAAGGAACGACGTGCCTCAGAGTCAGCTATACCCAGGCAGTGCCGGACGTGTTAACTCCCAATAAATCCTTTGGAAGCTTTGGAAGCTCGGCTTCAGACTCATGATTTAAATGGGGGTTCCTGCCGGAATCCTGACAGCTAGCCGACTCTCATAATTCCTCATCATTACTGGGCCACCTGACACCCGGCCTCTTCCATCGCTTCCCGACATCAGCTGTAAGCCGCTCATCCTGGAGGGTTCAACGACATCCACGTTGTCACTTCCTGATTTAGAGGTGGGAATGTGAACGAAGCGACTCCAGGGCATTGCATCCGGCTGGTTTGTGCGATGTAATAGAGGCTTCTGGCTTTCCCAGATCTCTTCAGATGCCGAATCGCCTGACTTAGCGGCAATTCCAAAGGACTCTTAGCAGCATCTGTTTTCTTAATGTGGACTAGAAGCATCACCTGATGTTTCATACAGACTTCACTTATTCTATATTAACCAGCTGATTTGGCCAACAAAATGTCGGCCAGACAACACATTCTCCTTTGGGTGTAAATTGGTGGTTACCGCCAAAACGAGAAATTATTTCGCTGTAGCAGGCCAAGTTTTCACTTGGCTCAGTTTTCTGCTTCCAACAGCTGATGGCCAGATGTTCTATAAAAACGTGAGCGAAATAGGATGATGATTCATCTACTGTTTGTACCCAGACTAAATATATGTATTTAAAAAGTTTTTAGAATTGTTTTTTTTAATAATTATTCTCCTCCTGTTTCATGTATGTCTCTCTAAATTGTAGCTCTTTTATTTATTCATTAATAAAATCAGTCTGTCTTTAGAATTTACATTCTGTTTCATATTAAGGCAAGATGTGGCAGCTGTATAAAATAGCAGCTTTGGAAACATGACATCAAAAGGAAGACACGGGGATACAGCCAAAAGAGCAAATTCTGGGGTGGCTCTTTTGCACCTCCCATTTGCTGTAAGCTTGGTGTCGCGTCCCCCGCCTCAGTTGGAGCAGCCCTCCCCATGGCTCCGTGTTCTGCAGCTGTACGGATTTCCCATTTCCATCTTCTGCTTTTGTACTCGGTGCCATTGTGATTTCCTAGTGGTCTCCCATCCATGGCTGTCTCGGCTCTGCAGACCTGCAAACGGGGCTTAGACGGCAGCGCTTTGGTAGCCCCTTCAATGGTGCTTCTCAGCTTGCTCAGTGTGCACAGCCGGCCGGGATGCCCTCGTTTGCCACGGGGGTGTGCGCGGATTTTTAAAATGTAATTTTATTTATTGAGTTGATTTGTGTCCATCTCGTCTGGAAGTGACCCTGGGCCGCTTTCGCTCTATGCACTGCAAATCAGACCCTCCAACAAAGGCCTTTGGGGGCTACAAGTATGCTCACAAGGGCTGGCTGGGGATGATGGGTCTGGATCTTCAGCTGGAAGAATCTGCAAAAGGAATTTCCGATAACGCTTCGATGTTGGCCAGAGTCGCCTGCGCAAAGCATCATGGGAGGCACCAACTTCTTGGCTTGCAGTCACTTTGGCCGGCTCTCCGCGCGCGGATTTCACTTCGGCCAATCAGCGAGCAGCCTTTTCAGGTAACTCCGCTTGGCAGGGAAAGCGTAGCCAATGGGCGCCAAAGTAGCCACGCCCACAGCCGTACCTCGCTCTCCCGGCGAAACCTCGTCGTCAGGCACCTCCACACCGCTCGAATGCCCGCTTTGTGCGCCTGCGCTGTTCCCCGGCTGAGCCTGCGCGACGGGGCCCCTCCAAGTACCCCACGCACGCATTTTACTGGCCGCTTTCATTTTCGGCCGCTGTAGGGAAATACCCCTTGCATAAACATTCGCGGAGGGGCGTTTTGCAACTATCGGGAAACGCCTTCCCGATTCTCATTTTCTTCCAAGAGAAAGTCCCTGCCCCGCCCCCGAGGCAAACGGAGCATTCCGCAGGAGCTTTCTGACTCTCAAACAGCTCCCCCCCACTGCGTGCCGCTCTACCTCTCCGCTCGTTGGTGGCGAGAGCCGCATGCGCAGGGCCCTCCTGGGCAGGAGCCCGCTTCCTTTCGTCGCGCGGCCGGGGCGGGGCTTGTCCGCGCCTGCGTACTGGGGCGCGCCGGCGGCTGCGCCTGCGCGGGAGGCGCGGCTTGCGCTCTGAGGAGGAGGAGGAGGAGGATGCCTTGAAGTTATTTATAATGTCGGGCCGGCCGCGGGTGACGTAGCGAGCCGTCCGGGCAGCGGGAGCAGCGGCAGCCTCGTTCGCCGCGCCTGCGCCGCCATGAAGGGAGCCGGGCCAGCGGTGCGGCGGGAGCCGGACTCGGGAGGCGCGTGGTGAGGGCGGGCGAGCCGGCCGGAGCGCGGTGAGTCCGGCCGGGCAAGGCCCCGGCGCCCTTCCTGCCCTCCCCGCGCCCGAGGGTCCCTCGGGGGGGGGGGCTCTTCCCTCCTGGGGGGGCGGGGGAGCTCCTGCCTCGTTGACTCTGCTGGGGGTCGCAGCCTGAACCCCCCCTCATCCCCCGGGGGACCACGTGACAGGGAGGAGGCGGGGTCTTCTCCTCCTCCCTGGGGGAGCGGAGCCTTGGGGACCCCCAGGGAGGAGCGTCCCCACCTGGCCAGGACCCCCCCACACCTTTGGGGGGGCTGATAAGCAGCAGAAGGCAGGATCGTGGGGGGGGACACCGGATGTGGAAGGATCCGCAGAGGAGGAGCTGCCCCCCCTCCTCTTTCGGGGGGGGGGGG